CTCATCCGAATCAACTGAATCCATTATCTACTGCATTGCAGCAGTAACTCGGCGATACAATGTCGGTCTGCCGAATCCCTTTCCCTAAGGGTATGATAAGAAGTCGATAAAAAACCTGTATTTTTCTTGTGTAGTTCAGGCAATCCGATCAGATAGAGTTCTCATGTAGGACGCGTCCATTCTTGGCCGACGAGCGCTGGTAGGATAGCATTTGATTCGACTCTGTCAAACACTTTTTCTAACACGGCAAGCGTTAGGTTAGTATAAGGGACAGGTGGCACTCCTGACGGATTTTTATGGCCGGCAACACATTTTCCTGTTATCCCTGAGTCGGAATCTTTCTTGGAGTGCTGCCTGCCCAAGAAGTCGTGCCTCATCCAAGGTTTTGGATATGCGCAAAAGGATATTCTTAATTAACAGCTTCTTGATTCATACTCAACAAGTATATGGGACGATAGTTACGGAGATTTCATCGCTTATGCTTTCTTGAGGAGTATGACTGTACGCGACGTTTTCCAGTAGTCTAGCATTTTCTTTTTCCGAAGGTAGGATTTCATACAATCTGTTTCAGATTTCCATCCTTTGATCGTGGAGTGACTCGAGCGGACGCTAATAAATCTTCCATTTCGCCCTGTCGTGCGTAGCAGTAGCGCAATGGAATCTGCCCGCTCTAGAGACATGATGAGATCATGCTTTTCTTCTAGAGTTTTCGTAAAGAACTCTGACAATTGGGTCCGAAAGTTTCATGCCGTACGTTTGACAATGAGAGGAATCCAGCTACTAACGGATTTTGTCTATCGATTTTCGTTCATATTCATTACCTGTCCGGCCCACCTCATCTTCGACAGATGGGGGCATAGAACGGCATCTTCGATTTTTGATTGTTGACAATATCGGAGCTTCAGATTCCTTCCCTCATTTGTGTGACACGGGATACTCCAACAGCATCATTTTGACTGCCTTAAATAACAGTGAGTGATTTTTCAACCTGCCTACGCAGCAACCAGTTTTCCAGTGCACGCGTTATGGTAAGAAGGATCGTGGAGTCAAAATCAGAAAAAAAAAGATGTCACATGCGGCGGTAATACTGAATAATAGACGATAATAATAGTAAAAATAATAACGACAATAAATAGTAATAAAAATAATAGCAAGAGAAGATTCCGCCCGTTACATAATCTCATTCCGACGTCCTGCAATGAGACTAGTTGTAATGCACCAGCAAACTTCCTCCGATCTACAGCAGCAGACGATTATCTGCAGTAAAAAGCTGGGAACCCTTTCTTGGAATACTACTGAAAAACTCGAACTGGGCCATGTCAATGAGGCCGGCAGGAGACAAATCGTCAAGCCGTAGACGAATCCACGTGGAAATACGGAATTCACCATGGAAGGCGGTTGTGAAGAGAACGAATGGAATTCCTGGGGGCCGTACGACATGTGGAGGCAGACCATCTAAGTTCCCGACAATGAAATAAACCCTATGCCTAGTTATCTCTGTCCTATATTTTATGAAATTATCGTTTATGTTTTTCTGAATGAGTTACCTTTCCAGATTCTACTATGGAAACGAAGGAGTCTTCACGCCAACTCAGGTAGCTGCATTGAACAATGTCATCGGTATTGTGCGAAACATGTGACAAGTAAGCACTGAAACACATTCACTTTGGAGCATAAGTGTAGGCGTAACTGAGCAGACACAGAGAGGGCTATTTAGCACCTAAGAACACATTGTTCTTCTTTTACCATTTATTGAAGTGCAAGGCAAAGACTTACTTAGAACGTAAGCCTATAGATGTATCTTGTTATCCGGAAATGAAAATCAAACAATTCTCAGTTCTAATAGCTCTGACATTGGATCATATTATATCCCTCCACAATCAGTTCTGTTGGGAAATAATGTGCGGTACTTCTTTATCAAACAGTGAATGGACTACTAATATTCTGATGCCATCCATTGGAGTGTTACGGTGATGATCTGTTTAGCTTTTTAGAGTGCTAAAAGGCTGAGATTAAATATAAAAAGCACAATTTTCCATAAGTAGGGCTTTTTTTTAATTCAACGACTTGGTATAAACTGCGACCGAGTCTTCCTAATGTCCATGCTTCTTGGCCATACCTTTTAAGACTGGAAGTAGTTATTAAAAAGACTTGTTAACCGTTAAAGGTGATGAAGAATTCCAAAACCATATTTTCTCGATTATCAACGCCAGAAATATTTTAGTACGACAATAATTGTCCTGAATGTGTTTGCCATTGATCGTGGAGAGAAAGCTGTACAGTGTGATAAGCAGAAAAAGCTTAATCTTTCCGCATGGAAAGAATAGGTACTTGTTTTCAGTTCATTTTGCTCAGATTTATCCTCGTTTTCAAATAAAACAAACCTGTCTATGAACCAGTCGGTGGATTCTTCATTATTGTGAATCCACATGTAATGAATTCATGACACATAAGTGGATTCTACTGTTAATCCTAATGCTCCTTAACAAAATATCACAGTGGCGAAGCTTTCACTATTTGTTCTTATCCATTAAAAGCTGAATCTATGTTATGCTAAAAAGAATCCTGCGAACCCAAGTATAAAAGGCTTCAAGAGTCCTGCTATATCCTTCCTCTACGAATGACGGAACATTATGGCGAGGTCACTTCCACCTAATGCTTTTGGCTACATGTGATGATATCATTATCACAATGGGTGCCCACTGTTCTCTATTGGAAGAAACTGTACTGTACTTCTTTGTTGAACTACTCATTTCTATTACCGTAGCAGATGCAAGTCTGAACTATGAAAATGTCACCATCACTTTGAAAATGTCACCATCACTTTGAAACCCTTTACAAGAATTTAAACAAATGAAAAGGCCTGCAAGAGTACTTTTTAAACAAATTTCTACCGCGTTTTCACTAGAAAAAAACGAAAGCGGTCATAAAGCGTGTTTTTGGCACTCAGAACAATCGTGATATTTTTTTTAGTTAACCACGAAGTGCTACGCGGCGAAAACTTTTTCAACCAGGGAACATTCTTCAACTATCAAAATTTGTGCCAATGCTGACTGCATTCTTTAAACAATGGGCTTTTATAAATGAGATTTTCTACATACTCACGTACAGCTGTAAGTTATAAATATGTGGTTAATAGAGGTATTTACGTCCATTCATGAGTGAGATAGGAGGAAAACATCTGTGTGACGTATGGATACACCTATGAAACTCATTGTGTTGAAAACCTCAGTACCTTGCATATATTAATGCCAGTAGACGAACTAGTATGGTCAGTACCTTATGGTATACTCTTGACTCAACGTTTAGCTCACTGTCATTAGGCAAAGGCAATGTATCCGACTGAAAAGGTATAGCTTTCCGTGAATAATGAACTCTGCACCTGAACTTGGAGATCGATTGCTTGACAAGATAGATTTGCTAATTCCCGTTGAGCTATTACCTATAAGCTATGTAAATGTTCAGCTTCTCGAAAATTCTGTTGAAGGTTGCATTAAGTGTCTGGCTCATGAAGCATGTGAGGTCAACTTCAAGACCAGGCTATATAAAACTATCATAGAACAGAGTTAAACTTTGAATAGTTACTTCTAGTGCCATGAGTACGAAGCGGTGATTGGTGTGCCCGTCCTTACAGTGCTTCATGTTCGATTTACTATTTTCAGATAACTTGAAAGCTAAGCTAATGAGGTCTAGCTCTTAATACATCACATGAAAGCTCGTCGAGTGTTTACACTTAGGATCCGAAGCTAGTTTTTCGCAAACTGATGATAATTTTTCGACAACTAGAGTACTTGAGTAGGACACCTGATTATCTTATACAAAGGAATTCGCTCCATTGAATTAATGCTAACTATGATTCTCCATAATTGCTGCTCGATTTCTAATGTTGTTTAAATTTAGAATTCTAAACGAAATGAAGTTCAAGTAATGGGGAATCATCGTGTTCTAATAGATGAAATACTGACTGCTCAACCGTTTTCATTTCGAAAATACGAAGCTTGACAAAGAAAAACCCACAAAGGGCGTTTGACGAGCACCAGAAAATAAAATCAGTACTTCATCGTGGTAAAACAAGAGTGGGCTTTCATCCTGCTCAGAATCGCAGATATAATGCTTTCTATTGCGATTAGTAAGCTTTAGTACGACCCGAGATATATTGGTCCAACGTTTGAGAGCGGAAAATAATTTCGCACTGTGTGTGGAAATCAACTCATGTCGACCCTTGAACGTTAATCGAAATGTCGGTCGTGAAGCAGTATTTCTACCCAGCTTCTTTATCAGGCTAAAGAGCAGTCATGCACCCTGTGTATGCCAGAAGTGCATAATCTAATCATAAGCGGAGTGAATTAGGGAACTCACTTTTCCTCCGAGAAAAGTGTTTACTGTGAGAAATAATATAGGGCATAATCAGTGGTGCAATCTGGTGACTTTGGTTGTTGTTACGCTTCGATATTACATCTTTATTCACATTTACTGGCAAAAATTCATTAAGATCGATAAATAAGTGCTTGCTCTCAAATCGGGCATAAGCGACCCTGAAGTGGGAATTCTGTGACATGCTGACGCGCCCAGAAGATGAAAGATGTTAAACGACATATAAAGTGCTTTCTACCTCTTGCAAGTATACCTCATAATTGATAAGTTCACTTTTCAAAGTTTGAGTGAGTGAACAATGAATACATGCATAACACTTAGTAACAGCTCGGGCTAAATAACTTTCAGAAACCCCAACAGCCCTGACGAAAAATCCCCGCACCTTCTACCAATAACAATAAAACATGGTAGAAAGCATAACAAATAGCTATCAGACGAAATCAGCTATAATCTACAAAACCACAGCCAGTAAGATATGCAAAAATTGTAGCGACCGACTAGATCGGCTAGATTGGTGAGCATAGGAGAACCAGTTGTGAAGAACCGTTCACAGTAGGTGGCAAACAAATGATTGACGAAAATACACGGATGCACGTTAATAAACAGTCATAGAAAAAATATAAAGCCTATGCAAGTTCGTCTTCTCCTAATGGAGCCAAGATTTTTTGAGTATCGAGAGCCACCATTATTTGTTCCTCAACAAGTTCATCAGCTTTCGAAATTTCTGTATCTATGCCATCTAAAAGTGAAAAACTGGTAACAATACAAAGATATTTAAAAAAAACAATACAGCCACACAAATAAAGACCTCGTAAAGAAATCCTGAGATCCTTCTCGGCGGCAATTTTCTTGAGATTCTTTTGCCGAATCAATTCGAATGCCGCCATTATCTTTCTGAAAGTTGGCGCGGTATAATTTGCAGATATTTCTTAAACAAAGCGATGTCCTGCTTCAGAAGTGTGGTTCCCTAGCCTACCTTCTTTTCTCTACAACCTCTTGACTAGCTCGGTTCTTCTCCTCATTGTCCTCACGTTCAAATCGCACAGCGGTTTTTTTTAGGTTGTTCTTGATTTCCTTAATAATCTTATCTGTAAACTAGAACCAGTATTTGTAATCTTAAGTTAGTACACTGTAGCGCACCGTGACAATGAAAGACATTATTGTTACGGTGTTAACTGGTGACTAACCTTTAATTTCTGATCGCTGAGTTTTACCGGTGGACGAGGTCGCCATTTAAATTGTGAGAGGCGCTCTAAACCTTTCCGACAAAGTTCGCGCCCCTGTAATATAAACAAAATGGATGATTAGATACGTATAGAAATAATGAACATGCGAACATGCAGTTATAAAACCGCTTGCATCACTTGTAATCCCGTTTGTCATTGGGTGACTCGAAAGAGTACGAGGAACAGTTCAAAAACTTCTCTAATGCATGTAGTAGCAACCCAGCAAGTTTTGTACATCAAAAAACACGAAGACCACCTTATTTTTCAGATGAAGTGCATCTTTTTTAATACTTGGCGAAATGTTACCTATGGGGGCATTTCCAAATTCTGCTTTAGCAGCTGGCTACACTCACGAACAGTATGTCAACTCTTAGGTGGTAGATGAAGATGGTAGTAGAATAGTAAAATTAAATCTTTTTTGTTGCAGACGACCCCGCTTCATAAACTTCACGACTATTTTACTGCAGGCTCTTGGTCTAATCGACATGTAAAAATTGAGACCACACAAAAAATTATGAATCTTCATTTTCCCCTCTCTGAATCCAGTTGCGTGTAAAGACAATTGAGAAGGTCTTTCTTCCGCGTTGAAACACCTACTCGTGCTAAGAAGACACGTCAGGTACCATGTCGACTAATCGACTTGGACTCACTCATACGAATAGGATCCGTGGACTTGGACAATATCGTGTAAATGCGATAGTAACACACCTGGAATGTGTAAAGTCGAAAACCAAGATCTGCTCCTATTCTTCCTCCAAGCGTAGAACACGTGACAAAGTAACGACCGGTTGGATCCCAGTAACTCTGAACCACTTGTTAGTACAACAGTCATTTAAGACAATCAATAACGAATTTCTGCCAAGCAACAGCAACCTTATTGAAGCCGGGATGCTCGACAACATTAGTACGTTTTGCTTCCTGTAGTGTGGTGTCAACAAACATTACATTACCACCATTCGACCGCTTCGCCAAAATAGCTAGCCAGCCACCAGCTGGAGCCCATGATACCTAAACATTACACACATTCCAACGGCATGATCTACATGATTTAGGTCTGCATCATCAAGACACTTGATTATTTAATTTTTTATTATTGATTATTATTAAAATTAAAATGTCCCACACTGCAAAACCGGCGAAATTTGTTTAAAAAGTCAATGTCATCAGAAAACAGTAGTGCAAATGTTATAAACACCTCCAAATAAATAAATTAAAGTCTCTTGTGTAACATTCTTATGCTCCCAATACCTGATGTCTTGTTAAAAAAAACTACAGTCTAAAAACCAGAAACCCCGTAACGACATGAAATGAGCCGGCACTAACGGAATGACAGAGCAATTTTAGAACATACGATCCTCGAGATGTTAAAGAAAATCTCGAGGAAGTCCTATTCGTATAACAAAGGCAATGAAATAGACGTTATAAAATCTCTCAATTACCTCCATTGCGCGAAAAAAAACTAAACTGTTTCTTAACGTTACTATGACATTCAACTAAAAATGAATCTACATGACACCAGATGACGTGCTCTTTAAAGACGAGGAAAATGAAGTACCATGTCTACAGCCAAAATTGCATAGATAAGACAATCCTTTATTCCTAGTTGATGGGATCAGCACAACAAAACTTCAACTCATAATGACTGATTTTTGCCAGTGAACTGACAAAGTGCACAAAGAACTACAGCAACTAGATCAAACTAACCAGAAGGCTCCACTCTGTTGCAATATAAACTAATTTGAAAATACCGACTCCATTGGATGTAAACGGAAGAAGCGGACTGGTTACTGATGCGGTCCATCAGCAAACAATGCCTAGTTCGACCCACTTCCTAACACTTTTCTCCAATACACGTGGAAACGCCTTAGGTCGGCTATCTCAAAGACTGCTTGGTCGACTCGAGCAACATTCTGTGACATTCATAAGCAAAACAAAGTCCTCAAGCAGCGGCGGAAACAATACCCGAAAAGCTCGACAAATCTTTGTAGACTACGAATGCGGGAAAAACGAATAGGATACGAGAAATTCTTGGATCCGCAAAGTAAATTTGAGGACAGATCACGCAAAATAGGTAAAAAAAAAAAAGTTGAATATAGATATCAAAACTTTTATGCACACCGAGTGTGTAAAAAGTGAACCCAATATCGAAAATGTACCGGTTGTAAAGGTTGTTACCCGAAATGATAAAGGTGGATTAAAAGAAGAACCACATCATTTTGAAATTGCTGTTAAAAATCGGATATTCTACAACAAACACCTCAATACAACGCGTCCTGCCACAGTAAGCATTAAAAGACAATGAAAAAGTAGAAAGAAAACCTCGTTGAATTGCACTCCAGGATCAAGTTTGCTCATCAACTTTGGTGCATGGCTATTTGGCTCTAGACGGTATACCAACGGAGTTACTTTTGCTTGATTTCCAGTCAAGACGCAAAATTTCTCACCTGAAAACAAGGCACTGGTAGGCATGGCAAACTCTTAAATAACAATGCAAATGTATTGAGAGCATACCATAGGGTTCCCATCCAAAATTAATGAACGGTTCAGGTAGTGGCAAATTCATTAGAGAGACGTCTTTCTTGTCGATTTCAAAAATCTCTAGGTGATAAGTGCAACCACCAACATATTTCACCTCACCACCTTCCTTCATTTGCTTTTTAGAATACCTAAAAATTGGTGTCATTCAAAACATTACTTAATAAAGAGAGCGAAAAATAACAAGATGTTTCATGAATGAATAAAAAGCTAAAAGCTCTCGGCCTTGATCAATCCCAAAGAGACGCGCAATGCATTCGACTTCACTAAGCATCGTTAGAGGCGACTGAATGCATATCTGGCCTTTACAATGACTCGCGGTGGTCTAATGATGTATCGAGCCGGTGCTGCTATTCTCCTAATCAAGTTCGTTATAAATATGCCAAGCCAGGAGGGATAGAACGGTTGGTAAGCCTGGGGGGCGGGGATCGACCCCATGTGTATTGCGTGGCGCTTTCTACCACTCCGCTACATGCGCTACGATTGAATATATCTCACAAATTCCTCAAAACCTCAATATAAAGTTTCTAAATGACTTGAAACACACCTCATAGTGTAGACGGCTAAACGTTGTCCACTTTTCTGCCAAAACATCTGAGCATCCGCTACATTATGAATGCGCCCTGATCTCAACCGCTGTTGTGTGGGCATTTGAACAAGACCAAATTCGGCTGGGATAGAGTCTGTGCACTGAAATCGATCTGAAGATACCTTGCACGCCGAGATGCTCATTATTACGTTGAGTACGGTTACCTCAAGGTAGTATGAAATGATATTCTGCGTTGGACACCAAGAAAACGTCTTAATATTGTCCACAGTTATGTGGCGATTACCAACTAGCGCAAATCCTTCAGTTTCGAAGACGGAAATGCCATTGACCTAAAGACAAGAAAAAACAGCGCTAATTTTTCTGCGATCTCGCAAAAATACCTTCTTTTCTTTCTCCAATTTGTCTTTCTCGGGAGGTTTAAGGCATGCGAAATACTTTTCGTCAAAAGACCATCTAAAACCAGAAAAAGATGTCACCATAAAATCCGTCAATAATCCGTTTGTACCTGCGAGATTAACGTACTGGAAAAGAGGCCAACACGGCAACTGATCCCGATTTGTCAGAGCGTAGAGTGAGAATCCCTTCAACATTTCTCCAGTAACAACGTCCCATATACGCAAACAATCGTCGTCATCACCCCAATGATTTTTCTCAGCTGTCTCAGCGTATGTCACTAAGTACCTGATAACGAGAATGTTTGACACTCAACAAGTACTGATGAATCTTTAAGAAAAACTGACGTTTCACATGGCGAGAAATCTATGAATTGTACGTTGTCGTGGGCAAATCGTTGAACTCGTGCGAACTCAGGCCCTCCCCACAATGCAATACCTCGTTTGTGGATAGTAGTCAAATAAGAACCATGAGGAGACCATTTGAACACCGTGTCAGTCCAGGACTTGAATTCAGTAATGAGAATGGACATCAGGAAAAATGATAAAAGCTGTAAACTTGACAGACCGGTCGTTCAGCCTTCCCAGCTTCCCCTGCAATTTCCGGTTCGTGTCCCTTTATGTGCCAGTAACATGCGACAGTTGGGACACCATCTTTCTCATACTGCACTGCGAATTGGTCACGACATCGAGGATGTTGCATCCACCACCATAAATCACCCTAGAAGAACCCACAAATTTAGAAATTATGAATGAAATTATACCAGCAAAAAATCTAGTTCTAGCAGTATTACCACATCATTGTAAGGAGTAGGTTCAGGTGCTTTCCAATCATCAGGAGGCTTTTGGAAATGTCGAGCTTCATTAAACAACAGGGTGGAAAAAACATGGTTCTTATCAAGCTTGTAACCATTCAGAACATTTTTTGCATACTCTGCTTTTGTCTTGTCAAGAAATTCAATAAAAACGCAACCCTGAAACGTGTGGTCATCATAAAAGATCATTAAGCTTCAATAGAACTCTTACCTTGGTCCCTCCTTCAGCTGTAAGTGGGAAATATGCCTTATGCTGTGGTTCAACATTGGTTAACACTTTTGACAACACTGCTTGAAGTTTAGCCAGTCTATCCGGACCGACGACTGGAAGTCCAAAAATCATCAAGCATGACTCTTCATACTCATCCATAGAGGGATGTTGACGCAACACATCCATGACAAGCACTTTAAAAAAGTACTTCCAATTCAAAAAAATTCAAGACATTCAGAAGAAAGAAAGACAAAATTACAAAAGATAGATGTACGTTAGCAACAAAAAAAAGTTCTCGGCGTTGATCAATCCCTGAAGGATGCGCCATGCATTCGACTTCATTAACTATCGTTGGAGGTGACTGAATGCATATATGGCCTTTACAATGACTGGTGGTGGCCTACCGATGTATCGCGCCAGTGCTGCTATCCTCAAGTATGGTACCAATTTACCGACACCGGAGGGATAGAAGGCTTGGGGGCCACAGGCTCCTGGATCCATCCCATGTGCATTACAGGTAGCCTCCAACCACTGCGCCACGCACGCCACTACGTTTTCACTATTGGAATAAAACTTTCCTAGTAACGTAAAAACATATGACTGCCAAAGTCAAGTGAAAATCGAACTGCTCTGTGGAATGATGTTCTCTTTAGAGAAACGCTATGTACATAACTGAGAAATTCGACATTTCTAAGTAAAGTTACCACCCAAGAAGAATTCAGTCAACACACATAGCACTGTGTTCACATAACTAGAAACCGTTCTTACGCATGGTAAAGACATCTGCTACCAACCCTACATTGCTGGGATTAAAAATCCACGGTAGAAACCTGAACCAGTTCTGCAAGCAAGGACTTGGCAACCCTATGCAGCAGCGTTAATAGCTCAGTTAAGTAACCAATCAATATTATAGGCACAGATACATTTAAGATCTGTACCGCTCCTAGTTCAGTGAGCTAGAAAATTATCGAAATCTTAAATGCACTTTCCAAACTACTAGTGGGTGACGTAGAAAAGCTGGATTCCATAAAATAGATAGATGACGCAGCATTCAGCTCCAAAAATTTTTTTAAAAGTTTGTTCACCAAAGTCGTTCTTATCCATGCTAACGTTCGGCTGCAAGGTAAACAGAAAGTGAGGTGTTGCAAATAAAGTGGATATTTTACTCTGCGCACAATGACCTTCATAATAAATGCTTTTGGACCATTACAGAAACTACTTAGTTTGGAAAAATTAATAGCTTCACCAACAATTTGAAAAACACCAAGGAATTACTCCTTAAGACAAGAACTTCGAGGACATATGTCTAGACGTTGCTCACCTCAAGCGGTTAATAGCCAACGTTGGTTATATACGAGCAAAAAGGAATAATCTACAACTCCATGAAAAATGCAAGCCTAAGCCTAAAGTCTAAGGCTAAGCTTGAAGGGATCGAAAACCCTAGGAAATAACAAAGCAAAACTAGTACTGCCAAAGGTCACATAAGGCAGACAATGAAGTCGCTGTCGATGACGTCATCTTCAGGCTAAAACGACTTAGATTCAGATAAAAATTAGAACTATGAATACGAGAAGTACATCTTGTGAAAACGATAGCTGATAGAAATCTCCGCGACTTCAGCAATCCCTTAGTATCTAGTATCTGGTCATGTAATCGCATTAAACACATTAGAGTTACTAGAACAAGTACAAACACTCTCCAGCGATCAATGAACTCATGAATGCAGGCATGAAAAAGGCCATATCACCATGTAATTCCACCTGAGGGACGCTTGTGCTATGCTGTACGTTTCAAAGAGAAATCCATGAAGTAAGTACTATATTGTCACAGATGACGGAATAACAATGGACTGAACGTCATGAATGCTACTACCTACGACATAAAAACTAAAGGATAAAGCTCTCGTTGATCAATCCCTGAGGAATCGGCCATGCATTCGACCCCAATAAACATCGTTAGAGGTGATTGCATGTATCTCTGGCCTTTACAATGACTCGCGGTGGCCTACTGGCCTACCAATGTATCGACACAATGCTACTATCTTCCCAGACAAGTCTGGTACCAGCATGCCCACCCCTAAAGGATGGAAAGCTTGGTAGGTCAGGGGCGCGGGAATCAATCTCGTGTGTATTGCAAGACGCCTCCGAGCACTATGCTACACGCGTCCACACTATTTACGAAACAGTTCTGTACGTTTCAAGTTTATTCTAGCTACATATATTCCTGATCAGTTCTTCTTGACTATAACCTAGCCCCCCTTGGCAAACACATACCACATTCGGGAATAAAGGTAAGACATTCGAAAGATGGATCGTTTTTGTTTACGGATTTAAACAAGATAAAGGTATAGTTTACATCAAAACGAAACATGCCAACATATCACTAAATGAACAACTAATGTACCTAGAGGATAGCAGCTGCAGTTGTTTGTTTACTCGTTATTTAGTAGTAACAAAAGAGCAAACACACACCTTCATCTGTAACATCATCCACATAGTCTTCTGGATCAGAAAAATTAGGCTCTTCCTCGTTTTCTTTATTTGCGTCCATTTCAACCATTTAAGTCAGCAATGGTTTGTCACTTCTTCAACCTAAAACTAAGAGGAAGGGTCCGTAGCAAAAAGAGAAGTACTGGAAGCTAGCAAAGCATTAAGTTGTAAGACACTTTTACATAAGCGAACAAGATACGACTAAAGAAGTGAGAGGATCTTGAAGTAAATTGGATTTAGTAGGAACGAAAATACCAGAGCGGCCATATTACATTTACCGAGCTGCGTGTGAAATTACGGATTTCATGGACTATCGTACCTTGAGTGGTGAGCCGAAAATGTCAATTGCATTGTGTGCCAGCTGTGGGGGTGCTACCACTCAAAACTACAATGTTTGTAAATTTTATTTAAACTATCAAGGTATCTTGCACGTAGTGCTATTCAAGGCTTTTCCATAATGTCGCAAGTACTAAGTAATGGAGAGTTTTTGAGAGCAAAAAATGTAAAGCCGTCAAATCTTTGTGTTTCGGAACAACATTGAAGCGAATTAGGGAATTACTTGCTTGCATACTTAGATGGCCCGTCCTCACTGGTTGTGCTGGCCTCAACACAATTTCCATTTTCTCGAAGTTTAGCTGGTTTGGTCGTTGTGGTTCCCTGGAGACCCGAGGTCAGCCAGGCAGAAGTCTACCCCAGGTCGTCAACACCACAGGCAGTCGCCGCCGTTGTGGATCAGAGCTAGATTTGCCACCGTGCGGCTAGTTTTATACCAGGACGGTGGCGGATCCTCCTATTGGTTTACTTTTAGCTAGGATTCCTGATGGAAACGCCGGACTCTTTCTCAGCTTCGCAGACCCTGCTGGAAGATGAATCTGCCCGCTGTACATCGCAGCTCGACATGCAGGAACACCTACCAGCCACGATGAGGCGGTAAACCGTTAAAATGGAATTAGGGAATTAAGTGCTCTTTTTCTAAGATAAGAATGTATTCCAACACCATTATTGTAACTCGTATGAAATGCTGAGATATTTGCAAAACTCCGGACCACAGGTGTATGCAGTGGAGAATGAACACGCGCTGTTGTCCTTACCGGGGAGCAGNACAGCGCGTGTTCATTCTCCACTGCATACACCTGTGGTCCAGGGTTTTGCAAATATCTCAGCATTTCATACGAGTTATAATTCGAAACATAACCTGCCATTAAGAAGAAAAAGGCAGTAAATAAAAGAGTTAAGATTGTGACCATTATTGTACCTTCTTGGATAGCATACTTACACGATGTTGTTATAAAAGTGTTATCAGGCTAAAGTCTCGCCGCCTTCTTCTTTATTAGAGCTGATGATCTCATCATCATTGATACACCGGAACATCGAATATAAGGAGTACGAAGATGTCGAGATTTTAGCCGAATAAAGCTTTTATAACAACTTCGTGTAAGCTTGACAACCCAAGAAGGTATTGATTATTTAAACGACGGTTGGTTTGAAAACTATTGGCATATGTTCAAGATTTCGGAGTTTCTGATTGACAATTAGTTTCCAAAAAAAGCAGATGACAATATCGAAAGGGACGGTGCTTCGTGTGAGTAAGTCAGAAGAAAAATTAAGAAATGAACGTGACAACAATCTCGGATATTTAGTTCATGAATCCAGAAAGTAGGTGATCCAATGAGTGGAGGACCGGACCTGGTATGTTTCTTCCTAGTATCCTATCGCATCTAATATTATTTTATATTGCTTCGGATCAGTGTTTCGCTATATCCGACAAGAAATCTGAAGTGATAATACTTTTTTACACAATGGTTTAAAAAAGTGGAACATTAGAAATTATTCAAGAAAAGAAAACCGAAACACTGAGGACCAGATAGCACAATGGTAATGGTGCTGGACATCATGAGCACATTCCTAGTTCGATCCCGCACAGAACTCACCAAGCCTCTCATATCTCCGAGGTGGGACTAAAGACTAAACAACCGATGTCAATACTTCCTTGCTTTCCACTGACAATCCATAAGCTGTTCCATACTGAGCTCAAAGGCTCCTTCTAAAACTATAGAAAATATCTAATGTTATCGAATAACCTTATAGGAAACCAGCGATGAGAAAACATCCTACCACAGATACTCGACGATACATCCAACAGGAAGGAAAAATACAAAGCTATAAAAAATTAGTGACGTTAGTCATATTTTCTCGGTTGTTCCGTAGCTTATTTTACTAATTCGTACGAAGTTACGTCTGTTCGTCTAGCCATTATCCATTGAAACTCCCTGTCGTGGAAAAATACCACAATGATTAAGGATAAGACGCTCGGCATTTCCATAAATTCATGGGTACGCTATGCGTTCGACTCCATTCGTAGCACCATAGAGGTTATCGAGTGCATATGACTTATACAATGACGTCTAATAACCTACCGATGTACCAAATCATTGCTGCTATCCTCGCATATAAGTGTGATAGCAATTTGTCTGAAACCGGAGGGTTAGAGGGTTTAGTGAGATCGGCGTGGGGGATCGAACCAAAGACAGTACGTTTACCACAGTGCACCTCTAGCCACTACGCCACGCACCAATCGATGAGACAGTAACAGAATGAAGACACTACGTCGTTGTGCAACACATGAAATGCGTGTTGCTGTCCACGTGAAGCACCACAAAGTTCTTCTCATCTCTCTTTAAGATCCTTCTCAACGTCGATCTCCACGCTCTACGAACTCAAGAGTACACCTGACCACCGACAGGCGAACATCACCTGTCACCTGTAACCTGTAGTCACGTTGATCGTCGAGTGGCTCAAACGGGCGCCAATAAATCTTCCATTTTTCATCGTCGCGTGCAAGACAAACAGGCGAACAAATGCAGGAAAACCGACACCCGGCAATTAAACAATAGGACAATTGATAGCGCGTACAAGTACTGAAATGTTGGCGGAGGATTTCTCGTCCACTCACCAGTTTACCATCATGACGATTCACATGAGCTCTTAGCACCTTACCTGGCCATTTTTCATCTTCCCCTTCCGCATGGAAAGAAAATAGTGCAAGCAACTGTTATGCTAAAACTAAGCAGCTGATTCAAGCTATTGATTGGCAAAGAAGTTTTTAATAAGTTTATGTTGGAGATTAGAACACAGAGATAGGAAATGCCACTGAAAACGACAGGAAATTTTGAAATAGCTGAGAATGGAGTTTTGCAGAGATCCCATTCATAGCATCGCGAGTCATGTGGAAGTTGACCATTTACTCGGAAATGGCACGTGGCATCTGCTTGACATTACCGCAGTGCAACTTTTCTGGATTCAATCTATTCACCGCCTCCTCCACTCAAACATTCAGCTCAGTTCCCAGCGGAGGAGAACTACCGAGAAGAAATAGACCAGTCGTATAACACCGGTACACTTTGGATTGAATCGTTTTCCTAGCGGCTAAGAAACCGAGGAAGACCTGATTAAGACCTATGAGTTCGTCATCAAAGAAGTTTAAAATATACCTTAGCTATTTAATAAGGAAATATAGAGCACAACCCCACCATCATCAAATCCAAAGCACAATCGCACCATCATCAAAAGATTTCGCCACAAGAGATAAAGCTGAGGCATACAACAAAGAAAGAATTATAGATGAAACTCGAAAGACCGACTTTCTATAAACTTTGGCATAGATAGTTGATATATTTATTTATGTGATCTTATAAATTGATCTTCTTAAGCTAAGGTACGTCCAGGCTCTGAGGAAGGCGAAATCGCCGAAACGTCAGCCATCGATCAATAACATCAAAAACAACGACATCGAAGATCTGTACCATACTCGCGTCAGCTTAAGAAGATCAGTTTATAAGATCACATAAATAAATATATAGATGAAACGTTCGGTATTGATTAATTACTGAAGGATGTATCATGCATTGGACTACATCAAGCATCCTGAAACTTGTGTGCATATTTGTTTCATACAATTAGTTACAATAAGTCGCTGCTGTACTTAGTCAGTGTTCATGTGCTCTCATAAGCTTTACTAGATTTTATCTGCTCCACAACCTCCGTTTCAAATGAAAAAGTCTGTGCTGGGGACAAATCTCAAAATTCAAAGTCGCGATGAGAAGCCGGAGGAGAGGCACGTTTCTTCAACCAGACGACAACACATCCAATTTCTTTCGAGATGAAAAGTAAAAAGGACACACACTACTCGTTACCCACAAGCTGACATAATCAACGTTCCAATTAAGAGATGTTTGACACTTCAGTCCTAAAATTTTCGCACCATTCAGTGCAAGAACAATATCTCCTGAGTATAAACACCATACCTACCAACGGTTAATCGCCTCATCGTGGCTGGGGTGTTCCTGGGTGTCGGGCTACAATGTGCAGCGGGAGTATTCATCCGCCCGGTAGCGTCTCTCAAGCTGAAAAGCAGCCCGGCTTTTCAGCAAAAGTCAGAGAAAATGAAAATTATGCTGGAGTCCGCACAACCAGTGAAGACGAGCCATTCAAGCAAGGCGGCCAACACTACTAAGACATCCGAAAATTATTTTGTTATCTAGGAAGTAGCAAATAAACCTGACCATATGCTGACGAATGAGACTGATGGGTTGATCCTCAATAGGACGAAAGCGTCATTTATCTAAAGCGGGCACCCCAACATGGATGGCTACGTAACGTCGGCGAGAATGTAGAATGAATATTCATGAAAGTTATCCATCCAAAATATTCCTCTATATCGGCCGCTTTCTTTGTTACGTAATCTTCACGTTACGTACGTATCTTCAATTTCCCTAGGATAATGTTCTAATCGTAAAGAACCTTGCAAGACACAGATGATACTTTGAGGGTTTGACAAAAGGACGGAAAAGGTAAAAATAAGTCAACAAATTGTCCAATCTGCGAGAGCGTCCTTATGACGAAAGACAGTTGGTTACTGTTCTGTTACAACTCTCTCTTAACACTTCTCCTCTTGATTTCTTGATATTTTATTTAATACGAGTGTTGTGGATTGGTGTTAAAATCACTAGAACAGCCTAAATGTTTACCGGCCTTTTAATTCGTGATAGATTACCTGTTTTCGCCATTAGA